AATTAAATTATCTGAATGTCAACATCTTATTCTCTCTATTTATTGATATCAAGACATCCTATATTTTTATATAAGTTGACTTTGCTTTATATTGGTGTTTCCAAATTTGCTATTATACTTTTTTAATTCTAACATTTTTTCTATTTAATAGATAGAAAACAATTATATGATGTAGGATAAGTGTGATGTTTAGTTACAATATTTCTGTTCGTAAATTGACTACTTAGCTGAAACTTTTGTGATTAATTATATTCCAAGACTTACTTATATTGTTAATAAAATCCAATAAGATTTCTGTATATTAAAAGGGTACTCAGTACGCCAATCTATGCAAAATTACTTTACTAAATTTAACTTTTAAAACTTTAAATAGATTATGTGCAAAATTAAAACTAAAGAAACTTATAACTAATATAATTAAGATTATCATGGTAGTGAATACGAAATTCATTGAGTTGGATAAAAAAGATGGCTGAATGTTGTAAGATCCCACAATTAACAATTAACTATAAAATATATTTATAAACTTAAGTCACATTTTTATATTATTTTAAAAAGTATATATAATAATAATAATAATAATAATAATAATAATAATAATAACTTTCTATTCTCATTTAGAATTATTTTTTATTCTTAAAATATTATTGGCTTATATACTAATCATAATAAAAAATTCTAAACTAAACACAAAATGTAAAAGTCTCAAACTTTGCTTTTTAAAAGTGGTAATATGATTTAAGTAATAAAATCTCAAATATTTTAATGTGAAAAGTTTAAAGCATAAATAAAAACATTAGAATTTCATTATTTAGAATCATACTATCCCTTTATAAACTAATTTCTCAAAAACTATTGTTTATCTCTAAGTCTTTTACTTGTTGGGTTATCTGTTCGAAGATTAAAAAGTGTCAAAATAATCACTGCGGCAATGTTTTCATGTTTGTTTGATTTTTTCTTGCAAAAAAGTAAGTTAGTTTATCTTATTTTCTCTAGTTTTCATGTTTTCTAATACATGTGAATAGTTTTCCACTGCACGTATCATCTGAGTTACCTTATTTTTAAGTTTCTAGTGTGTTGACAATCCGAGTTGCATGTTTGTGTTGCTTAAAATGTTGATATCGGTGTTTGTGCTGATGAAATATGAGTTGTTGAGTTAAGTTAGGGGCTTTGAATCGTTTTTAGTGATTGAGTGTTGAAATGTTGGCATATTGTGTGATTGAGATTGCATCTGAGGTGAATTGAGTAATTGATTCGTGTTTGATCTGATGGTTGATTGTTTTGGGAATCTGGGGTTAATGTTAGAATGTTTTGCAAGTTGAAATGACATAAATTTACAAAATTTTGTTTTGCAGAATTGTGCAAACTCACTAGGCGAAGTCAAAATCAAAGAGTTACTGACTTGGAGGTTGTTGGGCGAGCAAAAACTCGTTAGGTGAGACCAAAATCAGTGAGTTCTTTGACTTGACAGTTGTTGAGTGAGAATATACTCATTGAACGACTTTAGGAGAATTTAAGTCTGTAAGTTCTGGTAGTTTTTTCCCTGAACGAGCGGGTTTAGTCGCTGAGCAAGTAGATCCAATGGCTAGGCGAGATGACTTTAGCTAAATAAGCATATCTGGTGACTAAGTGAGAGTGCTTTCATGGAGTAAGGATATATGGTCGTTGTGTGAAAATATCATAATTTTAACAAAATTTTCATATATCTCTTATGATGTGTTTAATGTGTGTGATTATGTGAATTTTGAAAACAATGATAAATTTATAATATGATTGTGAGCATATCTGGTGACTAAGCAAGAGTGCTTTCACGAAGCAAGCATATATGGTCGTTAGGTGAAAATATCATAATTTTAACATAATTTTCATATATCTCTTATGATGTGTTTCATGTGTGTGACTATGTGAATTTTGAAAATAATGATAAATTTATAATATGATTATCAGCATGTATGGTGGTTATTCATGTATGATATGGTGATGAAGACGAGTATGTTATTGATTATGTGTTTTACGTAATTCTATGAATCTGTTGAGAGATTTTATGGTGGTGTAGTATGAGTATTGATGTGTAAGAATGATCAATTAATGTCCAATAATTAGATACCCACAAATATGCACTTAATAAATTATTATACAGTTAAGAGTGAAAATAGAACACAACAGTAATAAAAATAAATATATTAAATAATATAAATAACAAAAAATTTAAGATATATTATGTTTAACCCTGGTGAATAAAGGGGTTAATTATTCTTATACATTATTGAAATTAGAAAATAATAATGAATGTTTCAAGCCTCCTTAACGAGTCTCTATCCAATAATTGATTTTAATGGTCTAAAATCTATTTATAAATTATTCAAAACATACCACTCATAATTAAACTTGATCTCAAATTTGTACGGTTAATAAATGATTTTGTTAATATATTTTTCAATCTTTCTGTAATTTTAACTTTTCTATAAAATTATAAACGAAAACTTTTTTTAAATTATTAAATAAAATCTTAATTATCTAAAAAGATAATAATCAAAATACCAAAGTAAAAAATAAGATACTTATCATTTTTAATTTTGTCTATAAAATCTTAATTATCTAAATAAATAATAATTAAAATACTAATAAAAATACAATACTTATTTTTTTTAAATAATAAAAATACTAATTGAAGATAAAAAACAAAATAAAAAAATATAATGCCAATTATCAAATATCATACCTTACTTTTTAAGAAGTCTTATTACGAAAGCAAAAACATTACTAAAAAACTAAACTAACAAGTATTTCTTTATTTTTTTTCCTGAATGAAATAAAAAAAGAGAAAACCAAAAATATAAATGAAAAGAACAACTTAATCAAATAAAATTTTTGATCAACCTATATTAACTTAAATTGTACTATATTATAGATGATATACTATAAAAAAATAACGAAAAATAAGAAAAACATAGATAGATAATTTTTTTTACCAAATGTTAAAATAAAAGGAAAATAATTTTATTTACATATTATATATAATACTATTAGTTAAAATAAATAAATATTCATTTTTCCTTATTTTAAGCCCTTTTATTTATATTTATAAGAAATTAGTCATCACAATAATAATAATAATAATAATAAATAAATAAATAATTAATTAATTAATAAATAACTAGTTGATGCCGTCCATTTATCAAAGCTATATAGCAATTTAAGAACGAATAAGAATGTAATAAAATAATGAATATGCCAGATCTTGTTTCCACTCAAAAGAGTTAAAGTTTTGCCACTTATTTATATGAGCGTAGAAATTCTTATTTTCTTTCAAGTTATTCCATAATATATATTTTTTTATAAACCACCCTTAAATTTAAAATGGTTTATAATATTGTTATCATTACTATTATTATTATTTACAAATTATACGTTAGGATTGGTTTTTCTAATTGTCTTTGGTGTAGGTATTATTCCATGGCTTCACTTTTAAACAAAATCATTTAACTTTAGAAAGAAATAAATAAATAACACTTTTTTATACTCTTCTTTGTTGTTTGATTTCATGATCTTGTCTTATGTAATCAATCACAGGCCTACCTCTAACAATTTCGGTTAAAAGTGACATACAATTTAATCTACTTCGCTTTAATTATTATGCATTAATTATCACTGCTAAATATCCTCATTAAATAACAACTCATCCTTAGTATAGTTTTTACCTATTTATATAAATATTGATAAATTTATCATACGAATATACATATCTACTTTTTAATTAGATGATGATATAAAATTACTTTATATTTTCTGTAAGACGTATTTTTTTAAAAAATTATGAAATTTTTATAATTATTAATTATTACTTTTAATCATAAAGCAGAGACAAAAATTTAAAATAGTCCAGATTTTTTTTTACATATAAGATGTGTATCGCAATGGAGGTAATTTTTTAAGTCAAATGTATTTAGCACAAGTCAAAAGAATGGATAAGAGAAATAAAAATAAAAATATAATAAGTAAATAAAATTAAACATATTTTCTCGTTATTTTAAAAATAAAACAGAAAAAATACCATTTCTCGTTATTGTTTTTTACACTTTATTTTACACACGAATGATAAAACTATTTTCGAAGAGATAATTTGTTTTAATGTTCTTTTTTTCTTAAAAAGATATTTATTGGGTACTCGTTTTTCATTATTTGTTTTTAATATTTTGTTCGTTGGTACGTCACCATTCTGATACCTTCACTTTACTTCCTTTTTTGGACTAAGCAACACTGTTAAAATCACAAACAATCAATTGACCTCTAACAAATTATCATCAATATAGAAATATTATTATTATTATTATTTTTACTTTTCAATAAAACTAAAACATAATAATCTAACTATTAATCAATTTTAATACCATCCTTTATTCTCGTGAAATAGTTTATTAAAGCATAAACAATAGTTTATAATGAAAAAAAAATACTTGTTATTCAACTTTATACATTACTTATCATATATTAATCTGAAAACAGTCTAAACACGCCATATACCTATACGTAATTGTAAAAAATGACTTTCCTATAAAATAAAAATCATATCATATAACTAATTTACAATTAAACAATAATGTAAGAAAATCATATTAGCAGTATATCTTGCTTAACTTTATTTATATATTTATTACATAAATTAATTTGAGTAAAAATCACCATATGAAATTTTGTACTTTCTTCTTATAATGTTGCAATCTAAAGTTTAACAAGTATAAAGGTTGGATGTACTAATAAAAGTCACTATCACTAGACAAAAATAATTATTATTATAAAAATCAAATAGTTATTAAACATGAGATGTTGTAATCTAAAAATAATATAATTTTTGTATACCAAAAATGATATAATTTGAAGAGATATGGTTTTGGTTATTTTGTTTGGAGAATAGAAAGTTGAAGTGAGTAGAGACAAAAGAAAAAGGTGTGAACAGAAGAGTAGTTATGAAGCCAAATATGGATGTGAATGTGTGAGCAATGCATTATCATCATCTGCAATGATGACTTTGATAGATGCTGAAATTGAAAACAGAACAGAAAAATGGTGACACCCCAAAAAGACTAACATTTTCTTCCGTAGAAATTTACAACACAAACACAAAAAAGCTCTGCGTATGGGCCCACACACCTCTACCATACACTGTCGCAACTCTCACGTATTCTTCTTCCTCTTCTGCCAAACAAGGACATCGACACCACCACCAACAACGTTGTAAAAGTTCTCCCTTTCACTTTCCCAAAATCGCATAATAACCTTCTCTCTCTTCTTTCTGTCACTTTTTCTCAGTCTTTAATGGCTGCCCGTATAAAAATTCCGCGTTAAACAATTGTGGGTCGGTGGAAGTTAGCATTTTTCTTATCTTTTTGGTTGTCAAAAAGATACCCACTGAGAAAAGTCTTGTTTTTTTTTTTTCTTCTTTGGGGTAAAACTAGCTAGCAGTTTCAACCCCAAACATTGTTCTGTGAGATTAGATTGTATCTTACCAAGGCATTTTTTTTTTCTTTAGTTCTAACTGGGGCTGAGGGAGAGTTTTGGTGATGGAGATTGGATTCTGTTTTGTGGTGGAGTTTCACTGAGAATGCTGTGCAAGAGTTTGTAGAATAGTGGAAGTTTTGGAGCTCTATGGCGACGTTTTTTTGTTAACTGTGGATTGGATGCTTCTGCACTGTGGTGGTTCAGTGGCGAAAGAAGATAAATGCAGTGTTGATTTTATTCATGATTCTCTTATGCAGCAATTATGGAGCTCTGCTTGAATCAGTGATTGTGGGATTTGGATTTGACAGTTCTGGGGCCAAGATTTTGTGTCTTTGAAGCTTTTATATATTATCAGACTTACTTTTTCAATACGTTTAATAATTCAACTTTCTTTTTCCTCTGTTGGAAGAAAGGGAGGATTCACTGAATAAGGGTGGCTAGGTGTCTCCGTTCCCTTTTCTTTTTCTTTTACGGGAAGTGTGGACTGGAATTTTCAGCTTTTTTTCTGTAGAACCTGTTCTTCACTATGATCCGTGCATGAAGAAAGAAGGCATTGATACCTTTCCCTCCAAAGAAATCTTATATTGCTTCTGTGAGATTCACTCAGTTGGGAAACTTGGAGGAGTGAGAGTCTAAAAGAACCTGAATATTAGGTACTTATTTTCCTATAATTTTTAAGTTTTTCTTACATGCCTTAAGCACTAAATCAAGTTGCATATATTTTTATTTCCTCTGAAAACCCAGATTTTTGTGCTCTAAGAGGACTTGATGATTCAGATGATCAATCCTGTGACTGTGTTTCTTTTTCTTTGGTGAAACTGTGTGAGTGAGTTTAATCACGATGAATAACATCTCTGAGAATTTGCTTTTAACTTAGCCGACACTATTTTTCTCTTTTTAGGGTGTTTTGCGAGAGCCACGACTCTGAATAACATTATCGACTTCATGTTTTTGTCCATCAATCAGGTCACACAAGATTATAACTATGAGGAGTTTTGTATGAACATAGGCAACATAGGATCAAGATTGCGTTATTAGCATCCTGAGAAAAGGAAAATAAGGAAAGAAGGAAGTCAACTGTGACAATCGTTATGGCAAAGAGGTCACAAAGATTCCCTGTGAATTATGAGAAAGACCAGTCAGGATGTATGTGGGGTTTTATTAGTATATTTGATTTTCGTCATGCTCGATTTACTCGGAAGTTGATAGCAGATAAGAGGCATGGAAGCAAGCATGCTTTTGGTAAGAAATTTTTTAACATCTAAACTTTTACTTCCAAAATTGATTTCTTTGCATTGTTGTGTTTTATATATCCGCGGGGAGAGTTTCTAAAAATTCTATGTGCTAAATGTATGGCAAAATGTGCTTATACTGAATAATTTGATGGGTAAAAAATTGAATATCTTTCTGTGCTTTTTTATATGTATTTTCTAGAGTCATGTTTGTTAACAAATCTTTCATCATAATATGTTCTTTGTGTATAATTTATCTTGTAATGATTTGTGGTTCAACTTTTCTGATTAGTGGAAAAGAATCATAATGATAGTTTGGTTTCATTCTGTTTTCTGCAGGTGCGCCACTTACCAAGAACAAGTTTGAAGTGTTGAGCAATTTGGGTGAAAACTATGAAGGCAATTTTGTAAGTCTATCTATCCACATGTATTTTTTCAAATCTGGTGTTTTTTTCCCCTCTTTTTTAACCCTAAAAGTTGAAGTTTGATCATGGTTAAATTTGCAAAATTCTGAAGTAACATTAGGTTATCTGCAATTTTGCTAATACTATGTCTTGTGGTGGTATTACTATATCATATATGTTTCAGGACAGGGGAGAGAGTAAGAGACTAACACTGACAACTGATGCTGAAAAGCTTAGTGTGAAGAAACTTATAGAAGAAGAAATGATCACTGACCAAGATGAAATAAAGGATCAAGATAACGTGGAAGTGGAATCAAAGCAATCCAGATTAGGGCGTGATGAACCCCAGAAGACAGATTCCAAAAGAAAGAAGAAATCTCGCAAGAAAAACCATGATTTGAAATCAGATGCAACCTTGAAATCAGAGTTTTCACATAAGAAGCATTCAAGGGAACAGTCAAAAGATACTATAGATTTGGACAAAATAATGGATGATTTTTGTCATGTTGAAGCTACTTATTCCATGATGTTTGACAATGATGGAAAAATTGACGCGCAGTCAAACCAAAAGAATGTAATGTATGAAAACCTTGATAATGCAATCCATGAATTTGTGAATCAGATGAGATTGAATGGGAAAGATATGCATGAAGATGGACAATTCCTTAGCTCACGTGAACTCATGGAAGCACTTCAGGTTATAAGTTCAGATAAGCAATTGTATCTTAAACTTCTACAAGACCCAAATTCGCACTTGCTGAAATACATTCAGGAGTTGGAAAATGCTCAAGGGAGAGATGGCAAAGAATGCAGTTCACTTACTGCCTCCAACTGCTCTGAACTAGAACTTGTTAGTCTAAAACAAACTAGGGAGAATACCAACCGTAAGCATCTTAACTTTTTCAAGAAAAGGGGAAAGTCTCAATCAAAAGATCTGACAAATGAAAATGGGAAAACTGAGTTTTCAAATAGAATTGTCATTCTGAAACCTGCACTAACTGACATTCAAATTTCTGAAAGTGAAAGCAACCTTGACTCAATGCTAGATTCTCGTGATGTTTCCAATTACAAAGGTCCTTCTGTGAGAGTTGGTTCACATTTTTCTCTTACAGAGATAAAAAGAAAATTGAAACATGCCATGGGAAAGGAGAGACATGGAAACCCTGAAGTAATCCCACGAAAGCTCCCTGTTGAACGTCAAAATAAGTTGGCAAGAGGCAAATGCAAAGATAATACTGGAATGAGATCTCCTAATAAAGACCATTTCTTCATTGAAAAGATTGCTAGACCAATGTTTGATGTCATGAAGGGAAACAAGACTGATACACTGAAGGACTCTGAAATGATCGTAGAACAAGAAAGTGGTATTCCCAAGCTTAGTGCTTCTAGCTTATATGTTGAGGCAAGGAAACATCTGTGTGAGATGTTAGATAATGGTGATGAAAACACAAACATTTCAAGCAGGCAGATTCCCAAAACCCTTGGGAGAATACTTTCTTTTCCCGAGTACAACTTTTCACCTGTAGAAAGTCCTGGAAGGGATTTTGAGCATCATTCTGTGACTGCACAGGCAATATCTTCTCCCTCTGGAAAAACTAGGGAAGTTAGTGAGGATATTTCCTCCCCAGAACCAGCAACCTCAGTTGGTTTTCCAGCTCAGGAAACTAACAATTCAGAAGAGAAGTCATACGTTTGTGATGGAATCTCTAATAATAAAGTACAAGAAATTAAGCCAGTGTCAAATTTCTCCAGTGATGTTGGTCCTGTTGATACATTTGAAGTCTGTTGTCCTATTAGAGATGTGACAGTCACTGAAGGTACCATGTTCAACTTCAAAGTACATGACCAAGTTGTAGATGCTGTGATAAAATTTCAGTTTGTATGCATGCTTATATACATTTTTTTTGCACTTATCATTTCTGACCTTTGATGCAGACAATGTTGAACCTGCAGAAGAGAAAAATGGGTTGGAATCAGATCTGAATGGCTTCATCGTAGGACAGGACCAAAAAATTGATATCTCAGAAACTCCTGATGGTGCAAAATGTTCTGGATGTTTGAATCAGGTAATGTCACTTCCTACATCATACTTTTATGTAAAGAATTTGGGAATGAAAAGACTGATGTTAGAAATGTAGTCAAAGTTTTATAATGACACCTAAGGATTTCTTCCACAGCCCCTATATTTATTGAAAGTTGAAACTATCATTTGGTTCTTTTACAGGATGAGGATATAACAGAAGAGAACCAACTATCATCTCTACCGACATCTCCTAACTCTTTGATCTCTAAGAAAAATGAAGAGGTGGAACGCGGTATAGATTTATCTGGGGGACCGAGTCCTGTATCTGTTCTTGATACATCATTTTCAGATGATGACTCTGGAAACTCCAGATGTCAACCTGGTAAGCATTCCTTCACTACAGCCTCAAAGAGCATCCCTGGCTATGTTCTTAGTAGTTAAAGCCATATCTTAAAAACAAGATCTAGAAACTTTTTGTTGCAATTGTTCTATTGTCTCGAAACTCTAAACTAGAAGTAGAAATAGAAACAGGATACTGGTTGCCAGGGTTCCAGAAATCTACTCTTTATCTATACAATAAAATGTTACAGTTACAATTGAAATTTTCATATCAATACAATAAAATTGAAATCTGTCAAATTTTTGTTTATTTAAAATATGCTAAAGCAGTCAAGAGCTTCTTAATATTACAAAAGTTTGAATTTCTTCTTATCTAATACTATTTTTTTTTATCTTATTATAAATTATGACAAGATTAATTGCTTTAAATGTTTCCTTATCCTTCAAGTATTTTTATTTCAGGTTTAAAGTAAAATAATCTTTACACTAATATTATATTTTTCTTAGTTTGCTTAAAAGTATTAATAAAATATGAAATTTATTCACATAATGGATGAGTAAAAATGCTAGCTGATCTAGAAATAGTCAGTCTCGGATATTTATATGGTTTCAATTCTTGTCCCTTTATTCCCTACATATGAACAAAAGTTGGAACTGTTTTGGATTGATGCACTAACCCTTTTTGTTTGTCATATTAATTTTACTTATTTTCAGTTAACTTACAAGTACAACCTCTACAAATTCAATTTGAAGAACACGAGTCTTCACCAGCTGAAGAATTTGACACAGGAAAATATAGTTTTGGAGAAAATGAATTGATATATGACTACATCAAAGTTGTCTTGCATGCCTCTGGTTTGACAAGAGATCAGTTGTTGGTGAAATGCCTTACCTCTGACAAAATACTAGATCCTTCCCTCTTTGATCAGGTAGAGTTCTTCTCCAACCTGCTTTGCCACGACCAGAAGCTCCTATTTGAATCTATCAATGAGGTCCTGATGGAGGTTTGTCAGCATTATTTTGGGGTCTCACCTGGTGTCTCATTAGCAAACCCTTGCATGAGGGCAGCACCAAGTATGAAAAGGCTTACTTTCAAGGTCTGGGAAGGAGTGTGCTGGCATGTCCTTCCCTTGCCCCCACCACGCACTTTAGAGCAAATTGTTAGGAAAGACATGGCAAGAAGGGGAACTTGGATGGACCTTGAACTTGATGCTGAAACAATTGGTTTTGAAATGGGGGAGGCCATTCTTACTGAACTGATGGAAGACACGATTTTGAGTCTTGTGAGTGAAAGTTCAGTAAGTATTTAATTTGAGTTGAAGGACAATTATAGCAACTTCCATTTGTAAAGGACTACTCACTGTCTTCTGATCATAAAAAGTTTAAAGGAATTCCTATGTGTGAGGTGGAAGGGAAGCAAAGAGGGGATAGGAATTGATAACAAGAACACTGGAGAGTTATAGAGTTCTTCAAAGCATAATTGGGACTTTGGTACTGTTTCTTTTCAGCCTACCAGACTAATTTGATATTTCATAATATATTGTGAATGAGGATACTCAAATAAGGAACAAGAAGTAAATGGGGAGCCATTGGCAGTTGCTTCTTGCAAAAGTGAAAAATCTAGGCTTGTTTACTATGACAAACAAAGCAACAGTCTTGTTGAGGTGTGTGACTCACTTAACCCATTGAAGGGTCAAAGGTGTTTGATTGTAGATTTTGTAAAGTTTGATTTGCTGATCCCATTAGAAGGCGTGTTATAATTTTGTTTGTATCATCTTTTGTATATTTGCTTTTTGCTTAACCTATTGATTTCACGAACTTATAAAATAATGTACACTCAGCTTTTTGTGGTTTGCAAGGAAACTGAGCAGAAATATGAACCACATGTGACAACAAAAAAATTAGGAAGCTGTCTGTGAATTATTATTGTTCTTGCTTTTGCTTCTTTTCTTTCCTTACCCCAATCGATAGGTTTAGCTTTAATATTTTATTAATATCAACCGAATTCACGGTTTAGACATATTGGACAAAAACTTAAATATGTAGCTCAAAATGGCAAGTATAGTTTTATCAATTAATTAAAGTACATTGGGTATGAATACTGATACTTCTGTAGTCTTACGCATATATTAGCGGTTTATGTGTTCCAAAATGTTAGAATTGCAAATTGAGCGTTTAATTGAGGTAGAAAAAAGTCAGTTCTCTTCTGAATGTAAAAGTACAGGCCAAATAGTTGGGATAATTTTATAAACATATATAATAGCTAAATATAAATTTTAGTATCATCTTTTAAAAAGAAAAGTGTTTGTGGCGAAAAAGTTCAGTCAGTTAATAGTGAACAAACGTGTCAATAATTAGCTAAGTAGCGATAACTGGTATAAGGTAACACACTAACTTAAAAATATGTAACTAGGAAAACGCCATTGATCAAGCAACATTGCTTTGTATAAACAATTTATGCTCAAATTTTCCCATTCACTATAGCGGTCACAATACGTACAGATCTGCCTCATGAATGATTCTTAAGCTGATCTATCAATAAACACCATAGATTTTATGCACCAAGCAAGAACACTATGGACCGATTATACAATAATATCAGTTACACGTAAAAATATAAGTGCTCAACTGTCAAAAGGTCAATCAAGAAAAATATACATTAAGCCAAAATTGCAAGGCAAATGCAAAATGTGATATTTTACAGCCTTGCAGAAAAAAAGAACTCATCAGTGAATGTCACTTCTGCTTCTTATTTCGCAATATAGAAGAGGTCAAAGGTACCGTTGCCTTCCTCTTAGCAAACGCATTAGTTCTGCTATCTAAGTCCTCGCTGTCTTCATCGTCATCTAAATCATCTCTCGCAGTTGTGGCAGACTCTTTAGCAATATTGGCTGCTTTTCTTTTTTCAGCTGTCAATTTGGCATACAACTTCTTTTCGACAGGGTCATCGGAAGGTACAAATTTTGACTGGCGTGAAACTTTTGCACCTAGACCAAGCCTATAAAGTTGTGTAATAATATAATGTAAGCAATATCTGTCGTGACAAACAAACAAGTGCATCATAACATAAGCAATAAATTTACTACTGACCCGGAAGGTCTACCCTCTAAATCCACATTTGTTCTATGATCATCACCATCTTTGCTCATATTATTTACCCATAACTCGGCCTGCCAATCAGAATGGTTGACGTTTAAGTACAAGCACCAAATTAGCAATATTTTGATATAAGCCAAGAGGAGCAAATCGTTCAGAAAGATGGAAATCACTCTTGTATATATAATAAGTTCCAGGCTTAACCAAGCTACTTTACTAACAAGTCACACACACGTTTAATAAAATGTTCATTGTGGCCAGTGTAAGGTAATAATCTGCATGAATGAACATTAATACTGCATAAAACGATTTGACAACCACAAAATACATATGACAAGAGGGGTAAAAAAGAAATTGCTTACCAATTTCAATGCCTTGTTCAACTTAACAATATGGGGAGCACCAGTTTTCTTGGATGTTTCTGTGACACTCATTTCAAGCTCGTGCCCTGTTAAATCGAAAAGAACGAATTAATATACACATACAATTATATGTTAAATATTTGAAACCATGATTTTCCTTAAAAAGAATTGCTTACATACATATGCTTTCTATTCTGACACTGATATTTGAGCCACTTCCTTCAAGTCCAACTTTTGATTCCCAACAACCCGTTATATATTTAATACACTCATCCTAAGCTAGAGTTGAAATTTATCTAGCAGCAGCCACATGAATGCCTGATTGTGTTCTATACATAAATATTAACACTTATATGATATATTAGATTACCTAATTACTAATAACCGCCAATATCATCCAATTTCAAGAAACACTCCGTTTTGTTACAAAGAGTACTTAACCTTAGGATTATCACAAGGTCTAAATGCAAGAATGGCTCAACAAAAGCAGTACAGGAGCAAAGTGAAGACATGCCAAATTAAAACCATTCAGAATGTTTAACCCAATGTGTTGGAACCTTCTACACGTCCTGTGCCTCAGCCCCTACTCGGAACCCCAAAAGCTACAACCCACATCCCGTGCACCAGCCACTGCTCCAAACCCTAATAGCTACAACTCACATCCTATGACCCCAACCCCTGGTTTGAACCCTACAACCACCAAACCCCAACAGCTACAACCTAGGTTATCGAAATTGCTTGTAGGTGAGGAATTCTGCAGAACTCACCTGGGTAATAATTCCGCGGTTCAACGATTTCAATTTTGTTGCAAGCTTTTATCCGTTTTGGTTGTTAACGTTGCCTTGGTGTGTTTGCAACAACTTCTTAATTTTATGTAAAATATGCGTATAATGAACTAAAGAGTAGTAGTAATAAAAGTATAATGATATTAGAAAAATAAAAAGTATGTAAATATAATTTTTCAAGTAAATTCATGATCAAGAAAAAAAATAAAAAAAAAATTTGGACCATTTCTCGATTTGTGCGTGTCATCCTTGCGCAGGGGCCATGCTAATCTTCTCTGTATCGTTCCAATTTTATCGGATGTCCCCGAAGGGACAACAGCAGCAGGTGGGCGTGGGTTTATAAACATGAAAATTATGTCCTGCTTAGACGATGTGGGAGTTTAATGGAAACTTTCTTGAGGTAATGTTGGGTACTGAGGCCCGAAGAAAAAACAAGAAGCATCTTTTACTCATTTTTTTATTCAAGAATTGATTGTGACGGTAGGTATAACTCGTTTAGCCTCGTCCCCTATGATGACTCTGCTCTACACACTGCACGCCGTACACTACTGATGTGAAGTAGCACTTGGAGCAAAACTCGACAAGATGGTAAAAAATAACCTCTATGAAGAACACTTGATTACATATATTTAATTAAAAATGAAATGAAGTACCTAGTCTTTATTAAAGAATTATTTTAGCCCGTGCTTTGATTTGTTGAGAAAATAATAGGTGGAAAAAAAAAATAGTAAAATTACTTTGTATATATTTTGTTCACTCAAGCTATAAATGCTTAAAGGGTGTGAAAATGTCTTCTCTCTGTTGCATCTAACAATCAGATAAACATATACAAGTCAATATATATATTTTTTCATATAATCATCTAGTGTCTTTCTTCATCCTAAGTAAACATATGGTTTACACAAGATTATTGGATGGAAAACAACAAACATCTCCATAGTTTCTAAACCTCTCGATTCCTCATTGATTTATCTACATAAACAACATCTTCAATCCATGCAACAATGTTGAATGCTAAGCTTTCCAAAACTCTAGAATAGCTCTCAAGTACTGCTTTCCCTACATCCTGCAAAACATAATCACCATTCTTAGTCGATGATCCCAAATTTGAAATATTTAGTACTGCTTCATGATCTTTCTCATTTTCTTTAACAATTCCAATATACTGAATGACAATTTTCATCAAAGTGAGTTAAATTTTGAAACTTGTTTTCAGGGAAAAAAATGATACTGTCATGGTCTTCTGCTATCTCTGAATGCTGCACAAATTATAAATTTCACAGTTTGCTTAACTTACCCGGTTGTATTGGATCTTGCATGTGTCCAGAGAAGTCTGTGAAAGTTCAGGATATCTTTGCTTCAGGCAAAGCAATAAGGACTCAGCTCTCTCAGCTAAGGTGTAGTTTTTGTCCTTAGAATCTGTCTCTTCAATGAGATCCTTTACTTTGCTCCATGATGACTTTGAATGGCTCAAACAAGCCTTGCGTCTCCACGTGTACATTGATGACTCAACCCTGTCTGCTAACTCAAGTGCTTCACGTTCAGAGCTTATTTTGAGACAGTCAAGAAGTTGTTCAGGTGAGAATTTGTCTGCACTGTTCATGTAATGGTAAATTGAGTCCCCCAGACTTGATCTTCCACTCTGAAGACATTCATGTTTGAAAAGAGTGAAAGAAGAAAGATTAGAGAACAGTCATTTTGGTAAAAGTGATGTGAATGTATATACTATTTATGGCAGCATGCAAACTATTGTTCTCCTGCATTAACTTAATCAGTCATTGAATTTTGATGATTGATTTGAAGGGAATAGGCATGAGATTAGTAAATCTAATTCTGATTTGATTGCTATTGGTACCTTAATTGAAACTATATCATCCCGTTTTCTACATGTCTCGGCTGCTATTATTGGCTTCCATAAAAGGCTTATGAAATTTGATGATAAATTCCAAGACATTTGCTTTATGGGGTCACATTTAATTGAATCCTCAATCACTTGGCAATAGAATTTCAGCTGGAAAAAAGAGATGCAGACTTGTTAGAGATGTAGTTGTTTAGAGGTTACTTACTTACTACTTGGTTGGAGATTAATTACTATCTGGTTAATTACTTTCTACTTGCCTAATATCAGTTTTATTTTTATCTTATTTCTCTTCTAAACTTTCTTTCATAAGAAGACTCATTCTGAGATCTCAACTTTCAGAAACAGAAAATATCATCTTCAACAATTACCAATGAGGACTAACCTTAGGAAGATTATCTATATAATTTTCAGGGATATCTATTTCTGCAAGAACATTGCTGTTTATTGCCATGGCAGCTTTATGAATTTGATTAGCACAATCCCTTTTCTCTATCAGATGCTTTTTTGACATGTCAGAGAGGCCACCAGGAAGAACACAAGGAACTGGCAACCACCATTTCTCATCTTTCCTTGGAGCAGTTCTTCGACTTGATGCTCCACGTAATCGATTCGAATT